TATGCCAAATTAAAGATTGTTTTTTTCATGCCAAGCTAATAATAGGAATATGTTCTTTGCATTAGGCGAATATTATCCATTTTTGTATATCGTATGAAGGTTTATCCTTATCACGTTAGATAAATGTTGCATATGTGACGAATGTATTTGTCAAATTAATAAGAAGCTGGTATGTAGTCTTAGAGTAATTATTTCAGGTATAAAGAAAAATAGCGAAGAGGGGTTGTACACTTTTGACTATTACGCAAGTTATTATCAGATTAGTGCACATTCGCTTCACATTGGTGTTTAATTTTTTTTTTTTTTTTTTTGTGTTCGAATTTATTATTACAGTATTTATTAAACTTTAGTTTATTTAATTATGCTTATTTTAGAAATCAACATTCATATTAAAGGCTATTAAAGGTTAATTGTTGAATTATTACTGTATTATGCTTAAATATGATCGATCGAATATAATCTGTCATATCATGTGGACAAGCCACCCAAAATATTTGCATAAAAGTTATTACATTTTTATGGCAATTTTATTATCTAATACCTATAGTAAAACACATATACATTGCTTATTGATTTATAAAAGAGACTTGAACCTTTAGAATTTATTAAAAAGACTTGAACCTTTATATTATTTATTTAGTATTATGAAATTGTAAAAAACAATTCCGGCTATTATTGCAGCAAAGAGGTTCATTGCATGTCACATACCAATAATTACTTCGATGTGGAGATTTATGATCCATATCTAATTCATTTTCATGTGCTAGCCATGTACATCATCAACATGACTCATATTGCTTTCTCCACTCTACTAAGTGGTTTCCAGGTGTAAGTCATTTGTCTGAGATCTCAAAATGTTTTGTTGTTTTCAGTTGCTTTATTTCTTTTTTTGATTCTGTTTTATTTGAATTTGTTGAATTTCTTAGTTGAATTTTGCCAGTATCATTTGCGAAATTAACAAGGTCCCAAACAAGCTTCAGATGAAACTCCTTATGCTCTTTTGTCAATTCTGAAGTTATGATAATCCGATATGCATTGATAATAGCCATGTTTAAAAGCCAAAAAAAAAGTGGCATCCAATTTCGCCGAGTTGTTTGCTGCGTGTTGTAATAAGATCGTAGTTGGTCTGCAACATCTGCACCGTTCATTTAGTTATTGTAGTCATCTATTACCCTGGGAATTTTTAATTTTTTTTTTGATTCAGTTCCAAATACTGTGCGCACTTTTACTGCATTAGTGCTTGTTTCTCT